TATCAATCCACTATCTCCACTGGTCCACAGAAATCTCCCTTTTCCTCCTACAATTGCCCCAATAAATCTGCCCATGTTGAAAAAAATAGAGAAAAATAATTAAAAAACACAAAGAATCCCTTTACCCAACATGTTTTGCCTATAAGCCAGGCTTCATCAGGGTGTATAGTGCATGAAGTGACTCTAAAAAGAGCCTGAGCGGGAGCACAACCCTCCCCCCAAATGTCTGCTGTGTCCGCTAAATGATCTTGGTGAATGGGACCCGGTGATCATGTAATCACATTGATAACAAAGCTGTTCTGAATCAAGCTGATTCATATTGAATTCATATTGAAACATATTGAATGTTTAATCAATTGATGTGTAACGATGCCTCCAAGATATGCCTCTATGCAGATATTCTTTAAGCACAATACAATTCTGTGAAAGTATAGACTATGAAACAAGACAAATAAATTAAGGTTTATTTTAGATTAAGTCACTTAACAAACACCATTAACAGTCGTATTGATAGTGTGACACAGACATTGAAATTATATTCACAACAAATTCACTCAATTCCCCTGTAAAACATACTGTATGTATATACTAGATTAGGAAATGAGCGAAATTTCCTGATCGTAAGCCACCATCCCCAAAATAACAATTAAATGAAGAAGGAGGAACCCCCTAGGACTTGGGACTTTGAAGGCTTATATAGTACCAAAAATATTAAAAACGTATACATTTTTATTTGTGAAAAATTGTTCTGACACATCGACATACAATACAATACATCATACAGAGTCATAGTACAGCATCGAAACTAGAATATGCATTTATATGATAAGGATACCCAGTATGACTATGTTTGACTGGCCATAGAGGATATGAATTATGGTATCATCATTGATGTACAAAAACTGCAGAGATACTATTCTAATTGTCCAATGCGTTTCGGAGTGGTTCCACTCCTTCGTCAGGGAAGAGAGAGAAGAACTCTGCATATGGATGACATAATCTACAATATTAAACATATTTGTTTGGAACAAATCTCATATTTATAACAACATTTAATACCTTGGAATCTGTAGATATACTTACAATCGGTGGATAAAAATCAATGATTTTTTTTTTAAAAATCAAAAAAAAAAAATCGGATTTTTTTTTATTTAAATCGGATTTTTTTAAATAAAATGCTTTTTGAGGAAAATATATTACCATCCAAAGGTTATTCCATCATGAAATAAAGATTAGTTTTTTTAATTATGTAGAATAAGGCTGTATATGTTTAATTTTTTTGGAAAATAAATTCCATTAATCCATTCACAATGTCATGCTCTTCCAGAGGTTTTTGTAAGATTATTGGGCAGTTTCTCTGCCTACAAGATATTATCACAGATGCTTGGTTTACTTTTGCAGTTCTCAAAACTGAATTTGACTCAGCAGAGATCACATGCCTCTTCTTCACAGCAAAAATGTTATAACATGAACAGAGTTAAGAAAAAGACCTTAATCCTAACTTCTACAAACCTATGAATACAGAATCAACCCCTTCAGTGCTAAGTTTCAAGAAGTTCAGTGAATAGAAACAATATTTTTCTGATTGTTTGGAGTGGAATAGATCTGCACAAGAAGAAAGTGAAACTAAGTGTGAGGAGGAAGGGGCTGACAGTCTAAGTTTCTTAAAATATATATATTTTGTTTAGCCAAATTAGTTAACAAACATGGATGTTTGTTTAAGCAAATAACATATGCTGTAATTTATTGTTTCAGTTGAATAAATCTATTTAAATTGTTATTATTAAGGTAATGATTATTTTTCTCCTTCCTAAGTACAACAGAAAAGTTGTCCAAATATGAATGATTAACCTATTAAACTGGGGATAAAAAAACTAATATGAAAAGTTGTTATTCTAAAAATCTTCATCTACTTGCATATTAAAGTTATACCAGCAAGAATTAGTCTTTATGTAGAAAACTATGATTTAAATCAAGCCTTACTGACTAGTGATTTAAATCGTGATTTAAATCAGTTTGATTTAAATGAAATCCACCCTGCTTACAATACATGAAAGTGCAAAAAGAATGGTTGATTAAAAGATATGATGCTTTAAAATGTCACCTCGTATGACTAGGGGCCGACCGAACCCAGACAGCGGAAACCCCCGAAGACAACAAAACTATTTAAGCCTTCAAAGTCCCAAGTCCTAGAGGGTCCCTCCTTCTTCATTTAATTGCATATAGTAGATTAAATCAAACAATTAATATCCTCTCATAGATACTTTTTATAACTAAACCTGGTAGAAAATAATCTGCGTTTGACTGACTATACCCGTGATTCCACTACAACAGGATTAAAGGGCGGAGTCCGTCTGTGAGTTATGACAATATGGCTAAAATATAATTTAATCCTTAAGTGTTAGGGTATTGTGAGTGGAATATCAAATTAACTACACCTGGATCAAATTACATACACATGTATCCTCAAAGAGCAGAGCTCTGCTATTTTTTAACCATCGTTTCTAATTTTGAAAGGCTCTTTAATAGCTGGTGTGGTACCGATGGAATGGTACAAGGCCAAAGTGGTGAGTATACTATAATATTTAAAAAGACATCAAATTTATTGCCCTGTCCAGGACCAGCATAATTTTACTGTTGAAACAGATTTAAAAAAAAAAAAAAAAAAAAAAATCTTCGCCCAGTAACTACAGGTCTGTAGGTTTCACTTCTGTAGTAGAGAGGATACTTAAATGGCTTGATAAAAGGTCCACAAAGCAGAGTTTCTGCTAGAAAACAAAAGTATAAGTGTTAGCATAGATTCAGGTAAAAACAAAGTTGTCAAATCAATATACTTTCCTTTTTGGAAAGGTAAGCAGAAACATAGTTAAAGGAGTCATTGGGCATGTGCATGTTGTTAAAGTGTAAATTAAGGTATATAGGCTCAGTATATAAATGGATAGAGAAGGTGAGTATGAGTATGTGCAGTTTAGGAGGACAGTAGTTATGTGATAGATTATAATTACACCATAGATTATAATAAAACCATAATTTGGTTCCATTCTCTTGATACTCAGTAATTAAACATTTTCCAGATCCAATTTGTACACGTTTGAAAACTGTTTATCCAGGGGTGTTACAGTATCATCTACACAGTGGTGATAAAGTCATGGTCGTCAACCCATTTTTGCTCCTGAGTGAAGTCCTTTAGTATAGACCTCTAAAGGAGTCTTCCAAAGGAAATGTTTTTGTTTGGGAGACATATCCTATACATGCTCTGGTTGTTGTACCTGGTACCTGAAAAGTCAGGGAGGGACATCTCAGGGCCCTTAGAGTAAGATGTTGTGACCTTGTAGCACATTATGATAAAGAAAAGGTAAGGCTGTTCCATTTCAGTGTGTCTTTTCCTCTATCTTCATTCTCTTTGCTGTCTTTACTTTCCTTTGTCTCGCTCCTTGCCTGTTGCACCTTCTTTAACCCTAGCCTTCCCTTCAAACTTGCACAGTTCTACAGGTAGTGGAATTGCTACAGGGCAATCGCGTTAATTCCTCATTTCACTACCTCACTACAGATTCAGAGGCTCTGAAATTCCAGGATAGCACAATCCCCCCCATGACCCCTTTTTGGAAAGTAGACACCCCAGACTATTTGCTGAGAGGCATGTTGAATCAATGGAATACATTATTTTTTACCACAAGTGTTCGAAAAATGAAAAACATGGACTGGGTTGTAGGCTGAAGGAAAAAAAAAGAACCTAACAGATGCCCCTGTTCACATCAATAGATGTGGATGAAGAAATCTCTACCAAAAAGGTTTTTTTTCAATATATGCCGAAGCATAGGAGCAATCCAGCCACTGACCACCCCAGGCCCCCATACACTGTATTGCCAAAAGTATTGGGACATGCCTCCAAATCATTGGATTCAAGTGTTCCAATCACCTCCATGGCCACAGGTGTATAAAATCAAGCACCTAGGCATGCAGACTGCTTCTACAAAAATTTGTAAAAGAATGGGTTGCTCTCAGGTGCTCAGTGAATTCAAGCGTGGTATCGTGATAGGTTGCCACCTGTGCAATAAGTCCATCCATGAAATTTCCTTGCTACTAAATATTCCACGGTCAACTGTTAGTGGTATTGGAGCAACTGGGAACAATAGGCCACGTAAAATTACAAAGCAGGGTCAGCACAGTGCGCAGAAGTCTCCAACTGTCTGCACCAAACTTTGTGTGGCCTTTAGATTAGCACAACAACAGTGCATAGAGAGCTTCATGGAATGGAATAGGTTTCCATGGCCGAGCAGCTGCATCCAAGCCTTACATCACCAAGTGCAATGCAAAGTGTCAGATGCAGTGGTGTAAAGCACGCCACCACTGGACTCTAGAGCAGTGGAGACGTGTTCTCTGGAGTTACAAATCATGCTTCTCTGTCTGGCAATCCGATGGATGTGTTTGGGTTGCCGGTTGCCAGAAATTTGCCTGACTGCTTTTTACCAAGTGTAAAGTTTGGTGGAGGGGGATTATGTAGTAGGGTTGTTTTTCAGGGGTTGGGCTTGGCTCCTATGTTTCAGTGAAGGAAACTCTTAAGGTGCCAGCATACCAAGACAGTTTGGACAATTTCAAGCTCCCAACTTTGTGGGAACAGTTTTGGGATGGCCCCTTCCTTTTCCAGCCAGACTGCACACCAGTGCACAAAGCAAGGTCCATAAAGACATGGATGAGCAAGTTTGGGGTGGAGGAACTTGACTGGCCTGCACAGAGTCCTGACCTCAACTCAACAGAACACCTTTAGGATGAATTAGAACAGAGACTGTAAGCCAGGCCTTCTCATTCTCAATCAGTGCCTGACCTCACAAATTCTGGAAGAATGGTCAAACCTTCCAATAAACATACTCCTAAACCTTGTGGACAGCCTTCCCAGAAGAGTTGAAGCTGTTACAGTTGCAAAGGGTGGGCGAACTCAGTATTGAACCCTATGGACTAAGACTGGGATGCCATTAAAGTTCATGTTTGTGTAAATGCATGCGTCCCAATACTTTTGGCACTATAGTGTATGTTCTTTTTTTTAACTGTGAATGAGAAATCTCATCCAGCAGCACTGCACACTCTGACATATATTCTGAGAGCACACCCTGTTGGTGCTGCAGCTGAATTGCATTCCTGCAAAAAAAAAAAACAACAATGGTTAACAATAAGACAGTGACAAAAGAACGCAATAAAACAATTTTGTTTATTGAAAACTGTGGCAAAAAAATATGAAAAAAAAATATATGCCAAAGCATAGGAGTGATCCACCCAATGGCAACCCCAGGCCCCCATGCTTGGGCGTATATGTTCTTTTTTAACTGCTGATGAAAAATTTCATCCAGCAGCGCTGCACACACTGACATATATTGTAAGAGCACAACCTGTTGCGGTCAGAATAAACAGATCACTGCTGCAGCTGAATGGCATTCCTAAAAAGAAAACAACAATGGTTAACAATAAAACAGTAACTCAAAAAACAACAATTTTTTATATATATATATATTTTTTTTACTTTTTTTACTTTTTTTTTTAAACTGTAAACTCCAGTTGTTAGGGCCTCTCAAAATGTGATCTTTTTTGGGGTACCAGGAAAGGCAATAGGAAAATGCCTCTCATGCAGCCAGCTCACTGCATCTGGGTTGGGAGCCACACCAGTTATATGCTGACACCTTACTGCACTGGTGACAGTATGTAAAAAAAAGTTTTTTTTAATTTAATTTTACGAAAAATGACAAAAAAATGACAACTTCAAAAAACTCATCATGCCTCTTATGAAATACGTCGGATTATCTACTTTGCAAAAAGGGGGCATTTGGGGGATATCTATACTGTTCTGACATTTTTAGGCCTCCAGAAATTAGATTGGCTGTCAGTACTTAAGGATTTATCAATTTTCAGATATATATCCCATAGTTTGTGAACGCTATAACTTTTCTACAGACTAAATAATAAATACTGATTTGGATTATTTTCACCAAAGAAATATAGCATAATACATCTTGGCCTAAATTTATGTAGAACAATCATTTATTTGCAAAACATTATAGCAGAAACAAAGAAAAACTAGTTTTTTTTTTAAATTTTCGGTCTTTTTTTTAATTTAACAAAAAATATAAACTCCAGTGGTTATTAAATACCACCAAAAGAAAGCTCTAGTCTAGTGTACAAAATGATAACATTTTAGTTTGGGTACAGTGTTGCATGACCATACAATTGTCATTCAAAGTGAGAGAGCGCTAAAACCTGAAAATTGGCCTGGGCAAGAAGGGGGCAAAAGTGCCCGGTATTGAAGTGGTTAAAGCAGGCTTTCCCCCCCATTTCTAAGACAGGTATTTACAAGGCATTAGGGGAAGCCCATGGTCGCATGGTGGCACATGTACCAATTCCAGGACTGTATAAATGTCTAAATAGTGGCACGCTTGTATAAAAATTGTTCAAGTCTAAGTGGTACCCCATATGGAAAAAGAGTGACACTAAGTCCCAAACTATCTTGGCACTACTCCCCATGTAGTCTGAGCATTCGGGGGGCTCCACATGACTATCTTTTCCCACGTAAATCTGAAAAATTATATTTATAGCCTATTGCCCTCTCACAGGTCTTATACATTTTAACCCCATATCTGGCACGCTTGCTGGGGAGAAATTGATTGAATGCAACGCGGCCAGAAAAATTAAAGAGGGACTCATAAACACAGATGTTTTTCTGGGGAGTATAGACATCTGCAAATTTCTGGTTAAGGTGATTTACGGGGTGTCGAATTTTGTGAGCATATTCTGGGTCACCTCAAGGACAACAGAGTGTATTGTCATTGAAATGCATAAAACGCATTATATTATTATATCTATGCTTGGCCATGGCAGCAGAGAGCAAAGGCATATTATGAATCGGGTCTGTGGACCAATACAACCGCAGCTCATTCTTTTGAGAAATGCCCATGTTGAGGGTTAGGCCCAACAAGACTTTAAATTCAGAAGACGTAATAGGTTTCTATGCAAATGGTCTGGTAAGGTTTGAATTTGGGTTGGCAGCAACAAATTATTGTGCATATAAATTGCTTTGATCCAAAATCAATCCATACAGATCTTCCGTGAAAAACAGCTCCAAAAAATCCAGGGGAGTAGTTAAATTTGCTGTTTCCACCTGAATTCTGGGTTGGGCAGTGAATGAGGGAAGTACAGGTGCTGTAGAATTTGTGGGCCTCCAATCAGGATTTGCAAGGACACTACTTATGGTAGCCAGCACACCAGCTTGTACTGAACTTATGGGACTCGCCACATCACCAAGTGATACTGCAGTGCTGGCATTTAAAAGACCAGGATGTACTAGGCCATTGGTGCTTGCCAGTTCACCAAAAGGTAGAGTGGCACTAGTACTGGCACTCTGCTGCATATGAGAAGCGTGCAATTGCAACACCTCAGCAACCTGGGAACGGGGTGGGTACGCCTGACCTTAGCAAGGGTCTCTACTCCATCATCTAAGCTATCTGTCTGGGTTCCGCTGCTCTCTACAGGTTCGTATTCTGAGCCTGATTCTGTCAATGAGGCTTTCCTTTGCTCTCAGCTGACATGCTCAAAATCCTGTAGGCCTCTTCACTAGTGTACCCTTCGTTGGATATTTTGGCCACTAAATTTATAGGTACCTAGTACGACTCACGGGAAACAGAGCACCTGACTGTCAGGAACTGCTTGAACCGCTACAAAACAAATTACCTGCTAGTGCTAGCAGAAGTCAGGCCTGATCTTGTTAACCCTGCGGTATTGTGTGCAATGTATCAAGTGACAGTGATCTACTAACACTGCATTTGCTGGGGGAGAAAGGGTGATTAAGCGTAGAGGCTAAACGCAGGTACTGGCAGATGTCAGGGCTGATCCTGATAACTCTGCATTTTTGGGGACACTATACTATTGTGAACGCTGGTATAGTTCTGATCTGATCAAAGATATTGATCTGTTCAGACACTATACCAGCACTGGAGGTATATTGCTTATGTGAGCGTGTTCCTGGAAATCAAAGGGTTAAATGTGATGACTGATGTCTGACAGTATCTGGGAGGGACATTTACACTATCTGAAGGCACCTGTGACACTAATAGAGTGATCAGTAAAAAAAATCTGTACACTGTAATAATGACGCTGTTGACAGGGTAGTGAAAGGGTTAACTGGAGGGAAGATCAGGGGGTTAAATGGGACCTAGCTGTGATTTTACTATAAAAGTGTGCTGCTTTGATTCACCTGGATCTGCTTTCTTCTCTCTCTGGAACGCAATGTGCTCCAGGGAGAGAAGATTGCATCATAGGCACATGCTGAGCTCTGATTCGGGAGAGCGGATCACACATATATATATATATATATATATATATATATATATATGTGATTTTGTGCAGATAGTCTGCCCTTTAGCAATATAACTGCTATAGGGTGGAGGGAAACTGGTTACGTTTATTGGAGGGCTGATGTGGAAAATCGATTTTTGCCATTTTCAAGGATGATAGGCAAAGAATATCAAACAATCATGGAAGCTGGACATTAACATAGGGGCATGTACCAATGTAAAAAATAAATAAATAAAAATACTGTACAACAGGGAGAGTATTCTCCTTTTAATGTGACTTTAAAGGGCCATATGAAAAAACACCAATCCATTAAACTACAGAGGAGTGCCTTTTTTTTTTTTACATGATTTGCTGTAAAGGATGACTACAATAGATTTTGCAGTACTAGAAAAGTGTTTGACTTAAAGCAAACCTGTGCTTTGCCTATGCAGAAAGTGAGAGAAAGAAGAGCATGTGCTGAGGAGTAGAAGGGCATTAAATGGGACCTGTTTCTTTAAAAGAAAATAAATGGATTTTACATTTTGTACAAGCTGGCTTGTTCATATTTTTGTTGTTGTATTAAGCATAGAGATTTGCAAATTAGTATCTAGAATGAGCTGTAAGTCCATGAAATCATACTTCTCTTTTTACAACTGCTGAGAAAAGCTGTCAGCCACTCGGGAAGGGCAGTGTTTTCACTTGCAGAGGTGCTTCTGATTTTGCACTCGCCAGCTTTAGTAAATCAACCCCATAGTCTTGCTTTGTGAGGGGGAGTAATACAGCACAAACACTAAGGCTAATTTGCTTGAGAATCTTCACACAAGATTGAGTTGAGACTCTTCACACAACAAATTGTGTGAATATTCACTTAAATTATCCCACCATGTCAAAAGTAAATCCCTATTTATTTCATCTGCACATGACAGGATATTTGAAGTGAATATTCACACAATGTGTTGTGCTAAGATTCTCAACTCGCAAATCGGTCTAATTGTCTAACACTGCAAAAGTCGGAAGCACAGTTTGAATATCTAATGAGCACATTTGGCTGCATATATAATTAAACACAGGAACAAGGTTTAAAAAAAACATTAAAGTTGTAGTAAACTACGTTTTTTATACTTTTACCTGCAGGTAAGCTTTTAATAAAATAAATATCTCCTAACCGTACACCATTTAGGAGATATTCTAGTGAGTGACATCACTGGCGCATGCACTCTGAAGGAACCGAAAAAAATATATATATAATGGCGCCTATGGAAAAGGAAAAAGATATATCTATATATATATCTATAAATCACTTATTATAATATACCAGCTGCAAAAAATCACCATAAATCAATAAGGTGTAGTAAATAACACAAAAAAATATTTTACGCTAGTAAATATAAAATTATCTCCATAAATCAAATATATAAATGGTGCAAAAAAAATATATATATATATATGAAAAAATGTCCACACTTTAAAAAATATAACACAAAAAATGTGCATCAAAAAATATATATAAAGTGACAATACCACCACCAAAATTAAACTCACCAGAGCTAAAAAATATTTTTAAACCATGTATTGCTCTGGGAACAGTAGTATTAATAATAATGATAAGTCATTCATAGATGTATCTTCAAGGAATAGTATTCTGCAGAGCCCAGATCCACATACACCAATTTCAGATGGAGCAATTTACTTTCAAATCAATTATCATCAAGGAAATCCACTTCTCAAGAAAGCCACCTTCAAACGTATCCAAAGAGGGAAATGCCAGACACTCAGAAGAAACAGAAGAGCTTCATGGTGCAGTATTATTAAAGCAACATCTTTATTTAGTACTCATTGTACTTAACTCAAAGGGTGTCCCAGCCGACACCAGCATCAACAGCAATCACAGCAAAACAGACCCAGCTACTCGGCACATGCGCAGTAGCTCATTGGAAACGTAATGACGTCACATCGATCAAGCTCCGCCCTACGCGTTTCGTCATCGACGTCCTCACAGAGCGGATGTACAATGAGTACTAAATAAAGATGTTGCTTTAATAATACTGCACCATGAAGCTCTTCTGTTTCTTCTGAGTGTCTGGCATTTCCCTCTTTGGATACGTTTGAAGGTGGCTTTCTTGAGAAGTGGATTTCCTTGATGATAATTGATTTGAAAGTAAATTGCTCCATCTGAAATTGGTGTATGTGGATCTGGGCTCTGCAGAATACTATTCCTTGAAGATACATCTATGAATGACTTATCATTATTATTAATACTACTGTTCCCAGAGCAATACATGGTTTAAAAATATTTTTTAGCTCTGGTGAGTTTAATTTTGGTGGTGGTATTGTCACTTTATATATATTTTTTGATGCACGTTTTTTGTGTTATATTTTTTAAAGTGTGGACATTTTTTCATATATATATACAGTATTTTTTTTTTTTTGCACCATTTATATATTTGATTTATGGAGATAATTTTATATTTACTAGCGCAAAAATATTTTTTTTGTGTTGTTTGTTACTCTGAAGGAACTGCATACTCGTGCCGCTCCTTGAGAGCTGTGTGCCGCAGCCATAGCTCCCGCATGCATATGCAGGAGTGACGTCATCATTGCTTTGGCCGTTCAAGTGGCCACAGCCCCGGAACCCGGAAGGAAGACCGGGTGAAGATGGAGGCCTCTGCAGCGGTAGCAGCGTGCCGCTGGAGGGCATTGTTCTCCGGTACCATATTTTTCACTCAATAAGATGCACTTTTTTCCCCCCAAAAGAATAGGGGGAAATGTCTGTGCATGTTATGGAGCAAATGTTGACCAGGCCTCCCCCCTCACCACTGCCGTGTTAGAATACGGGGGCCGCTCAGCTCTTCTATGGCAGAAGAGAGGAGGAGTCCAAGTCAGCAGTGCAGCAGTGCCAGGCAGGGCCCAAAGCAGCTGCCCCTTAAGCCCGCGCCACCCTTAGATTGGGGCCCTGAATCACTGCACAGCAGAGCCAACAGGGTACGCTGAAGACATCGTATCCCCAGACAGCAGGGAGGGGGTGGGACCAGGTCCAGGAGCTCCACTGACCCCGCCCCATCCTGTATGCTAGGGAGGGAACCGCTAGTAGAAGCTGAGATGTGAGTGGGAGCCCCACCCTCAGAGAAGATGCTGAACCTGGCCGGCCAGGTATGTCCTCCCTCCAATAGACTGCCTGTGGACTGCTATACCAAACTATATATGTGCATTGCTGAAAAGTCTCTGTTCATCCCCTGTACTATGTCCGCAGTCTCTGGTCATCTCCTGTACTATGTCCGCAGTCTCTGGTCATCTCCTGTACTATGTCCGCAGTCTCTGGTCATCTCCTGTACTATGTCCGCAGTCTCTGGTCATCTCCTGTACTATGTCCGCAGTCTCTGGTCATCTCCTGTACTATGTCCGCAGTCTCTGGTCATCTCCTGTACTATGTCCGCAGTCTCTGGTCATCTCCTGTACTGTGTCCGCAGTCTCTGGTCATCTCCTGTACTGTGTCCGCAGTCTCTGGTCATCTCCTGTACTGTGTCCGCAGTCTCTGTTCATCTCCTGTACTATGTCCGCAGTCTCTGTTCATCTTCTGTAGTATGTCCACAGTCTCTGGTCATCTCCTGTAGTACATCCGCAGTCTCTGGTTATCTCCTGTAGTACATCCGCAGTCTCTGGTCATCTCCTGTACTGTGTCCGCAGTCTCTGGTCATCTCCTGTACTATGTCTGTAGTCTCTGGTCATCTCCTGTACTGTGTCTGCAGTCTCTGGTCATTTCCTGTACTATGTCTGCAGTCTCTGGTCATCTCCTGTACTGTGTCCGCAGTCTCTGGTCATCTCCTGTACTATGTCCGCAGTCTCTGGTCATCTCCTGTACTGTGTCTGCAGTCTCTGGTCATCTCCTGTACTATGTCTGCAGTCTCTGGTCATCTCCTGTACTATGTCTGCAGTCTCTGGTCATCTCCTGTACTATGTCTGCAGCCCCAGTCATCTCCTGTAGTATGTCTCTCCTCCTTTGTTAATGACAGTGATGATGGTTTTTAATACCATTTTTGACTGCTGTTCACTTTACATGGTTGAAATATTATTCTGTTATATTTTTTAAATATTTTAATACACCATTTGGTTCAGAATAATTTTTTTCTTGTTTTCCTCCTCTAAAACCTAGGTGCGTCTTATGGAGCGAAAAATACGGTAAGTTTTTCATAATGCGGTAGTATGTGATGCATACTAGAACATTACGATATAACCTTACAGGGGAAAATCTTTTTTTTTTTTTTCTAATGTACTAATGCTTTAACACACATTTATAACATTATTTACAAAAGACATGATTATCTTAAAAAAATAAATATATGCTCAGAACTCTGGATGTTCCAGACTGTAAGGAGAGAAAAAAATCAATGGATTGGCGTATTTTTAAACAGACACCTAATAGTTTACTTAGCCAGATATGTTTCATTGTATTTCTTATTTCTTCATTTTAAAATAACATTTATTAATCTGAATTTGACATATTTCAAGGTCCTCATCTCTGCTACAGGATTATTCTTTAACTAGTGCTCTATGAAGCACACTTTAACTACTTGATGACAAAGCATGCCACACCCCCTTCCTGTCCAGGCCATTTTTCAGGGATGTGGTAGTTTGACTGACATTTGCTCAATCACACAACTGTAACCAAATTAATTTTATATATCGTTTTGGAGGGACAGACAAAGCTTTCTATAGTGGTAATTATTTAAGAGAAACTTCAGGTGTTATTATTATTTTTTTAAGTCAGCAGCTACAAATACTTACCCACTTACTTACCAGTGACTGGGGGCCAGTGCTGCCATCTTGGATACATGAGGCAGGGGTTGCAGAATGCTGGAAGGAAGCCATCATAGGAACCATGTGCTGCTGAAACCATTTTCCTGTGCTGAGAGAGAGAGAGCAAGGTTTCAGTGAAGGGGGAATGGTGATGTGTGACTAGAGTTTGGTACAGCTATCTGATACTGTGCTGCCAAGGAGAAGAATGCTGATCAAAGTCTGAGAGAGATGGATCCTGAGAGCCTGCACTGGGGATCAGTGTTTCATTTGCTGGACATGGCAAGTGACTGTGACCATCAACAGACCCCTGACCATCAGAAAAAGACCACTGGCTACAACTTCTGGGCACTAGCTTGAGAGGGAGGACCCTTTCACAAACCTCCATGGAAATGCCTGGCGTTCAGAGAGTGCCTACTGTGGTTAGAGGCCTCTTAAGGCTCTGGCATTTCTTGTTTCTTGGTTGCATGAAATAGTTCTGCCCCAGTGGGGTTGCTTTAACCTCCTTTCAGCTCAGGCACCCTTTAAAGTTCTGCAAAATCTCGAGGTACCCCATTATCAAATGTAAAACCTAAACTAATAGTTTTACATCCACACAGGTGGTGGGCAACCCAACAATAAAAGTGATTTATTTATTTATTCCTCCACCTTTGTAAACTAGTACTGACTAGTATTCTAGCATTTCTCTTCTTCCTCAGTTTCTCCCCCTTTCTCTGCTAACTTGACACCAGAGAGGCAGGAGAGGAGCAAACAAGGATGTTGTGAAGGTGCCCGATGTCTTGCTTATTAACCTATGATGTCATTTGCTATTAGGATGCCAATGGCTGGCCTGAATGATGCCTAAGGTTGTAATGCTGCACAATAAAAACTGTGGCTCTGTGTAACAATAAGCAGGCTTGATATACATGCTGGCTTGTTGACAATTTTTTAGCAATTTGTGGTTATTTTACCAAGGCACCCCTGGAGAACCCAGAAGGCACCCCAGGGTGCTACTGCACCCTGGTTGAAAAGGTTGCCCTTTATTTTGGGAACAATCTAGTGCCACTTTGGATTATAAAGACTGTACTTGAGACCACTCCCACCACTAGTAGGGAAGGAAAAGAGAGACTGTCTCATCAGGACTGAAAGAGAGACATCACAGCAACTTTTATCCTGTTCTGACATGAACTTGACTTTTACTAAACCAGAGCACATATGCATAGACCTAGAAGAGGGTGCCCTGAGTCTGTTAAGAGACTAACATAATAGAAGTGAATTTGTTATCTGCTGGGAACTGTTGTACTTTCTTCTAGAGCCCCAACTTTGTTGATCAATTTTTTTTTTCCATCCATCACTGGCCAGTGGGACAAAACTCAAATTCCTATTTAGGATTCCTATTCAGAATTTAGGACTGTCTTTATTTACTGTTGCTAAGTAAATGCAGTTAATTTCTGTTAATCAGAATACAGCAGATGTTTAACCACATCTCTAATAGCAATCCTGTTGTCCTGTTGATTGTTTGTATAAGTGCTAATCACTTCTCCTTTTAGGCTATGCTTGGCCTAATAAATTGTTTAAAATACCTCAAGGTGTGTTGGTAGGTGCTAGGTGCTAGGTAAGCGAGGCGTGTCATCTTCAGGTGTACAGAAAAATCATATAACAATTCAGCAGCTACTCTGGGGGTAGCGCTACACCATTAATACATACATCCTTACCTGTTTCAATGGCAGTTTATTGTGTTTACTTAAAGTAAATCTGTGTTGAGAGCTGTGGTCTGCAATGACTAATGTATACCTGGCTAGGTCCACTTTAAGTGGGGAACCTCAATTCATAGACCTTCATAGAATTCAATACAAGCAAAAGGACCTTTAAGCTGAGACCAGCAACATGTCTCTTTTTAGAAGAAGAAGCAGTTTCCAACAGCAACAGCATATTTATTAGCAGAGCAGCCTGATCCTCCCGATGCTTTCCAAGCATCTCTGTGAGTTCTCTCCCCCCATAGAACCTCAAGCGGACAGACTCACTTCTGGTACTCCATCCCAAGACATCACTTCTCCCAGATCACTGTCCTTTGTGAGGCTCCCTGAGCCCAGGGCCTCAAGCAAAAATCTACACTGGACAGACAGGCTTCTTCTGCTTCCAGGTCTCTATACCATGCACATGTGAAGGCCTCCCAGACCTCATATGGTCATATGATGCACCCCAAAATATTTATGCTCTCCCTCAGCATGCACACGTAGAAATAAACCTCCTACTCACTCCTGCTCTTGCCAGAGGCACCAGTGACACCTGCTGGCAGCAGAGAGAAACCACATTTGCACAGAGCTGAGGGGAAAAACAAGTGAACAAAAAGACTATTAATCAGTCTGGGCTGACCACCACTCAGCAAGACTAAATTTAAGACAGCGTGGCTACACAAACATAAAAGTGCAAAAAGGACAGAGGTACAAAAGCTTAAAGCATCTAAAAGTGTAAAAGTCAAGGTGCCTGATTGTGTTTGGAAGGAAGTGAAACGTGCCAAGTAGATCAGCTATAATATTGCAGCCCTACTGCACAGAAAAAATACTAACTCATTAATGGGTGCTTGTTTAAATATGCTGCAAAAGGGAATAAAGGGTGGTTAGAGAAAGGAAATGTCTATGAATGCAAATTAGGATGTTAAAGTCCAATTTCACAATCCTATAATAATTCCTCAACTTTTTTTCTTCCCTGCTTTATACAGATAGGGCTGCTATATTTTTTTTTTTAACAACACGCAGCATTGGCCTGTGGGCAGCATAGGGTGGAACACCTCTGCCAATACTGCCACAAAACTGAAGGCAAACTGAGCAATGATGTTTTGACTTTAATTCTTTTTTAACCACTTTATGACCAACTAGCACATATGTGAGGAGGCAAAAAGTTGGGCTTTAATACTAACGCTCCACAAATATGTTTTGCTGGGCAGTCAGTGTTTGTGTGCTAAGAGCACGCTCACTGCATGCTCTCAGCACAAAAATCAAGCTATGAAAGACAGCACTTGGCCCCTCCAATGATTGTAGCCAGACTGGCTACCGATCAGGTGACTACCATGACAGCCAATCACAGTGGTTATGTGACTGGCCCATATCCTACCTCCTGACGTTCAGAACATTTTAAAGGGATGCCTGGGCAGGTGTGAAAGGGTTTAGGGCTTAAATCCTAATTATAATATACAGTCATGGCCAAAAATATTGGCCATACCCCTTCATTTTTGTCAGATTAAATACCACTTCACCCAGAAAATTGTTGCAATTACAAATGTTTAGGCATTCTCATGTTTATTTATTTTGTTTGTATTGGTATGACACAAAAAAAGTGGAGAAACAAAAAGCCAAATCTGACACATTCCACGCAAAACCGCAAAAATGGACTAGACAAAAATATTGGCACCTTCTCAAAATTGTAAGAAATAATTGCATTCCAAGTTTGTGATGCTTCTGTAATTTGCAATTAAACTCACCTGTATCAATTAACAAGTGCTGACAATATAGAAAGCACACCAGCAGCCAGTTAAAATTATGAACTTTTGACTCGACATTTCTGTTATGTGTCTCTGTGTGCCACATGGAGCAAGGAGAAGAAAAAGAGCATCAATGAATTGTCTGAGGATTTGAGCACAAAATGTGGAAAAGCATGGACAATCTCTAAGTTACAAGTCCATCTCTAGAGATCTTAATGTTCCTGTGTCCACTGTGCGCAACATTGTCAAGACTTTTACAGCCCATGGCACTGTAGCTAATCTCCGTGTACATGGTAAAAAGAGGAAAATTGATCAAAGATTTCAATGAAGGTGTGTTTGAATGGTGGATAGAGAACCTTGATCAACTTTCAGATAAATT